AATTGTAAAATAATTAAGTTTAGGACTTAATTAAACTTTTGATAAGTCTAATTGATTTAATCAAGGGTTTAATCAAAAGCAAAATTAAGTTAGAAAATCAATTTAATGAAAATTAAAAGAATTAATTAAGTTTAAGGACTTAATTAAATTTTTAATGGGTTTAACCGATTTAATTAAAGACTTAATTGAAAAAAATTAAGTTTAGAGAATTAATTCAGATTAATTCATAAAAATTAAAAGATTATGAACATAATTGAAATCTGAAAAAACAAAATTGGTATAATTAAGGATTTAGTTGAAAGAAATTTGAAGATTGAAGGTTCACTAATGGTCAAATTAAAGAATTTTGAGATCAATGCTCACTTTATAAAAAGTGTAAAAGTTTAAAGATCCAATTAAATAAGGATAATGATGAAATGGCAAGGAATTTAAAAGATTAAGGTTGATTAGGGTTCCATGCAAAGTTCCAAAGGTTTAAGTACCAAATTGAAAAATATTATAATTTTACTATTTATTATCTTCTTCTCATTAAAACAAAAGAAAAGGATGTTCGAATACCTGCCTTTCAGCCCTAATTTCTCCATCATCTCTTCACCACACAACACAAATTTTATACGAACTTACATCGTGATTCTTGTATTTAATTATAAGCTAAAATTCCAACTTTGATTACATCAAAACCATTTATAGATTCTCTTTTAAAAAAGCTACTCAGCATTGTTTAACCTGTAAAAACAACATCATATCCTTCATTAGCTTGCAAAGCAAATCAAGCTTTTATCCTTACTTTTAAAGAATGACAAGGATTTATTCTTTTACATCAAGAGGTTAAGATTACATTAACTTATAAACCCTATAATGTCATCGTTTTCTCTCATAAAAACCCTACAAAACCTTAAAACAAGAGGCCCAGAGGAGGAGGAACATTGCCATGAATATTTCTTCCCGACCAAGACGGCAATAGTTATGAAAACTACAAGTAAAACATCATGAAACAAACCACAAATCGTACAAAGCTTCAACTTTTAAAACACCTTCCAAACAATCATTTGTCATACCAAAAAATTCCATTTCAAAGTCACCCTAAGACAATTATCAAATCATCACAAAACAACCCTTTACAAGTAACAGTAGTAGCAATCAATTCTAAAGAAAAAAATAGAAGCAGACATCAAACTATCAAACTTTAATGTAGTAGAGCTTTCTCTATGAATATTTGTTTACAACCTTACTAGTAGTAGATCTTGTAAAACTTTTGCTCGTCAGTAGTAGCATTAAAAATGCAAAAGTAGGGAGAAAAGACAAACATGAGCCGAAAAACATAAACAAACATTAAACTTCAATGTAATAAATCCTCTTTTAAAGAGATTTTTCATGGCACTACTAGTGGGAAATCCAATACGAGATGTAATAGTTTTAGACCTTGTAAAATCTTTTCTCACCAATAGCATCATTAAAACACAGTAGTATGGAGAAAAGACAAATTTGGGTTGAAAAACATGACCAAATATCAAACTTTAATGTAGCAAAGCTTCCTCTATAAAAATCTTTTTGTGGCATTGCTAGTGAAGAATCGAGGAGGGGATATTATAATTTCAAACCTTATAAAATTTTCTCTCACTAATAACAGCATTAAAACATAAAAGTGGGGAAATGAGACAGACTTGAGCTGAAAAATAAGAGCAAATATTAAATTTCAACATAACATATCCTCCTCTAAAAAAGATCTGTTTGTGGCTCAGTTGGTGAGGAATTAAAAAGGGGATGTATTAGTTTTAGAACTAGTAAGATTTTTTTCTAGAAGCAACAGAAATTACACTTGGCAATAGTACGAAAAGACAAACTAGGATTGAAAAACAAAAAAGAAGACTGAAAATTTAATAGAGAAGAGCTCTCCCTACAAATGTTTATTGCACTGTCAATAAGAAATCAAAGAGGGATAGAGGAGTTTTGAATTCAGCTTGGTAACTCCTCTCTAGTAGTGACAAAGCGTGATTCCATGCATTGACAACAACATTGTTGCATAGTACACACGCCACCCTTAATCGAGCAACCCTTTTAGCATGATTCCAGTAATACCAGGACACGCCAAGCATCTCATAAGGTTGATTTATAAATTCAAATTATTTTTTTAATAAAATGCTAAAATATTGTGAATTCTGGGATAAATTGCTCATTTATGTTTATATATTTGGACTGTTTAAATATTATTGATTTGAATTTATGTGTGTTATTTTATTTGAAATGATACGTAGCTTCTGTGGAAAATATGATGCGATGATTTGAGTTCCAGAATCCACGTAGCTTGTGCTTCAAATTTCGAAGGCTAAACACCATCAATGGTCGCTCAACTACTACTCATTCTCTTCTTGCGGACTGTTGTGATGCTGCTTGCACATAAATCACAATATAAGAATATATACAAAAAAAAAAGAGAGAAAACAAAGTACAGGTGATGAATTATTTGACACAGCCGAAGCTCTGTTGACAACTCATGGAGGTAGGAGGAGAAAACGAAGGAAGGATAGAAGGAGAGAGAGAGAGAGAGAGAGAGATTTCGCTAAGATCCAACTCAACTCAATTAATTAGCCCAAAATGCTAACAAATACGAGATTGATTGCCAGGAAAATTTAGTGAGTCGCGTGTGATACATGTGATTCTCTTAGAAAAATATGATAGATGCAATTTTATTAATTTTTTTTAATTTGAAATATAAATAAATGTTATTTATTTATTTTAAAAAATAATTTAAAAATAAATAAATATTAGTCTCAATCTCAATCTCAAGTTGCCATAAAAATAATTTTCATTCAAATTTAAAAGCTATTGTTCTTCGTAAGAAGGTTTGCAGTTCTAAAATTTTCTCACGCAAGCCACTTAGTGGCGTATTCTCTTGTTGAGTAGAAAAAATAAATAAATATTGGAGCAGTAATAGAGAAATTCTCTTTTATTCATTTTTTATTAATTATTTTTAATTGTTATTCATATTTATTAAATATTTATCAATATTAAAAATTTATTTTATATAATTAAAAAATATCAAATTTAAAAAATATTAAATATAAAAAATAGACTATGTAATAACAAATAATCTACTAACAAGAACAACTTAATAATAATAACAATAACAATAAAATATATTTAAATTGAAATAAGAATTTACAAATATGACCATTACATAAAAAAAAAAACCATAGAAAAATTGTTGAAGGACTTCGCATTCAAGATCTAATGACTCGTTGAAATTAAAAAAAGAAAAATTTCGTAGTCATAATTTCAAAATAATTGAAATAAATAAAGAGTTAAAAATTCATATTATTGATTCCATACAAACTTAATCCCTAACAATATATATCTATTTTATATTTTATAATAAGTCCCTATCAGTTATGCTTACTATCATAGAATATCATTCACTTCTTAAAGATTATTACCCTTTTTTTTTAATTTAAATAAATACTATCAACTGTTAATTTTAAAATTTCAAAAAATGAATTAAAATATATATAAACTACTTTGAACACAGTAATTACTATATTAATCTTGATTTTCAACTTGAAAATCAAGATTAATATTTGCTTATTTTTAAAATTTAAAATAACTTTCAAAAAAAAGCTTAACAAAATTATATCTATGAATTGTGTTGTTTTTTTCAATTAAGTTATAAACTGTGTGATGTATTTGATAAAAAAAATAAAATGTAAAAAATTACGTTTATAATGAATGAATTTCTTTACCTGTGTTATCCACAAAGATTGATATTTAATCATAAAAATAAGTTAAAGAGGATGTTTGAAAATGTAGTTGTAGTTGTTTTTTTTTAAAAAATTATTTAAAAATACATTAATTTTTTTATTTTTTTTTTTAAATTTTTTTTGACATTACTACATCAAAATAATCTAAAAACACTAAAATAAATATTAATTTAAAATAAAAAATAAATTTTTTAACAATATTTAAAAAAAATAATAAAACCTTAAATATTGACCATGTGGGCGAGGGATAAAAACATTTCAGGGGGGGGATTTTGGGACCATGTGTCCTTCTCTCTTTTTGTTTTTTAAATTTAACTTTATTTTGTACAAATATGTTCTTACAACAAATATATATTATTAATTATTTAACTTGTGCTTTCTATGCGAGATATATATATATATAAAGTCTGAATATGTAAATTTTTTGATACATTTTTTTACATAAAAAAATCTAAATTTAAATCAAAAAGTTTATCCATCTGAGTGCTTTTTTTATTTTTATTTTTTTTGAAAAAAAAAACAGCTGAATACATTGATATATCAATTCGTCATGGACTCGTTCTCCACGGTGGATTAATGAGTTAATAAAGAGATTATTTTAAATTCAAGCTGGAATAACGTCTAAAATGTACTTGTTACTTATAATTAGACTAAACCTTTAAAAATAAAAAATTTAAAATTTAAAAATGAAGAAAAAAAATTATAAGCCATGACCAGTAACTGGATTTTATATTAACATTATAATCCAACGGTTCATAATCTTTTTTGAGATTTTATCTTATATTTTATTTTTTATTTTTTAGTATTACTTGCCAATAACCACATATTAACATTTTCTCCTATATTCTTCCATTCCCATCTTCTTTGGGCATCTTCTCCTTGAAATATTGAGAGGAGTATGAGAAATAAAATCAAATTTATTTTTTATTTTTTATTAATATGAATATTAAGATTAACTTATATGTAATTTAACTAATTCTATAAATCTTAAAATTAATAATTATATAAACTTTTAATGCCTCTAAAATATATAAAATTTGAACAAATAATTTTTAGATAATAAATTTATAACATGAAGAATTTAACTATACCGACCTTTTCATTTGTATTAAGAACAAGGAAAAGCAACAACATTAAGCGATGCCAAAAAAATACAAGAAGAAGAACGACCTGTCGGGGAAGAAAAAGAAATTACCCAAGGAGAAAACGACAAGTCGTAAGGAAATTAGACTGTCGCCATTGCAACCAAAACAAAAGAGAAAGCACAAGAATCTAACAACAAAAACCTAGGAGACGAACTTCACTGAACAATGATGTTCAAAACCCACAATTCTCTTATTACATTAAAAACCTTATTACAATCAAAATCCCAGCTTGAACCTCAAAGCAACAAACTTTACGATTTTTTCCAAAGTCGGTCCATTGTAAAAGTAAGGCTTAAATGGGTGAAAAACCGATCTTTAGACCATATAATTGATACAGAAACTGATCTTAAAGCAGCTTGTCTTTTAAAAGATGCAATCAAAAGGTCTCCTACTGGATTTCTCACTGCAAAGTCTGTCTCTGAGTGGCAAAAACTTCTTGGCCTTACCGTGCCTGTTTTACGTTTCATGCGCAGGTATTTTGATGTTTATGCGGTTTTTCGTATTACCCTTAATTGATTTTTCCTTGTTTTATTGAATGTAGGGTTGTAGAAATGAATGTGTTAGATGAAAGGTTGAATCTTTTCTTCAGTTTTAGGTGTGCCCATTTTGTGATTTTCCCATATTGATAACTTGGTTGTGTGGTTGTTTTGCGATGAAATTTCGAGAGCGGCGATTTTTAGAGGATTTTGTGCTTTATGAATTGATGTGGAAACTGGAGTTTTGTAGTTTACTAATTAATTGTATTCTCTTTGGTTCTAAATTGTAGTTAATAGATCCTGTCCTAAAATTCTAAGAAAGCAACGCTTGAGTAAAATCAGTTTTCTTTCATGCATTTAGGTATAACTTCACCTCGTATACAATTAATGACTTATTTGAATGATCTTATTGGTGGGATTTATTGATGATTAAAGGAATGATATTTTCTTACTCCTTAATCCGTTTATGTGTAGGTACCCAACACTTTTTAATGAGTTTCCACATGCTCAATACACAAATTTGCCTTGTTTTCGGTTAACAGACACTGCGCTCTTGCTAGATTCACAAGAACAAACTATCCATCAAACTTACGAGAGTGATACAGTGGAAAGACTTTGTAGAGTGCTTATGATGATGAAGAGTCAGACAGTGCCCCTTCAATCACTACACCCCTTGAAATGGGATCTGGGCTTGCCTGTTAACTTCGAGAAAGTATTGATACCCAAGTATCCTGACCATTTTCAATTTGCTAAGGCACCAAATGGGACTAGGAGTTTGCGGCTTGTGCAATGGCATGAAGAATTTGCAGTTTCGGCATTGCAGAGGAGCAATGAGACTAGTGAAAAGGGGAAGGAGTATCGGCAGTTTAAGAGTGGGTACACAGCTTTGACTTTCCCAATGAGTTTTCCAAAGGGCTATGGAGGGCAGAAGAAAGTGAGAGCATGGATGGAGGAGTTTCACAAATTACCTTATATTTCACCTTATGATGATTCAAAAAGGATTGACCCGGATAGTGAACTCATGGAGAAACGGGTTGTTGGAGTTCTGCATGAGCTTTTGAGCCTCACAATTCATAAGAAGACTAAGAGAAACTACTTGAGGAGCCTGAGAGAGGAATTAATTCTTCCTCACAAGTTTACTCGACTCTTTACAAGGTATCCAGGGATTTTCTACCTCTCGTTGAAGTGTAAGACAACAACTGTTGCTCTAAGAGAAGGTTACAGACGTGGAAAATTAGCAAATCCACATCCTCTTGCTCGTCTAAGAGAAAAGTTTTATCACGTGATGAGGACAGGGCTTCTTTATCGCGATAAAGGTGTAAAGATGATTCCTCAGGAAATTTTGCTAAATGACGTGGAGGATGAAACTGGACAAGAGGAATCTGAGGAGGAAGAGGATGAAATAGGTGATGGCTGCTACGAGGAAACCTCTGAGATGGGAGAGGATTCTGATGAAGAATAGTCTTTTATCCAAATAAATTTGCTTATTGCCACATTTTAGAAGTGAGAGAAATGGTCCTCGGGACCTTCAGATATTGAGTTGATGATCTCCGAACAGAAGTATTGAATTTGGATAATTATCTTGCCAGTTGCCAAAGGTAGCTCTCGACTGTTTATGTTATTAGGGGACTGTGTTTATGCACATCAGCATGCACGCGTTTTGTCTCCAATTTGATGAGGTGGATAAATTTCTTTTCTTGTTTTCAGGCAGGCAAAGGGTCTATACACTAGTTTAACATCGTGGAGTCATTTGAGTTTGTTTTTCATCAAATTATTCAGAGGTTACAAGCTCTTTTAGAAGTTCAAATTCATGTCGACTGCCTTTCTTTGGTTTATAATGATATGGCTTCGAACATGACTTGCTTTTCGGGTTTTTTTTTTTTTAAATGATTTTTTTTGGTGTTTTCATATAATGATTAAAATTGTAATTCAATTTTTAACATTAAAAAATCTAATGTATCACCTACCCGGCGCGAATTGATTGTTTCACCTCCCCCGACTGCGGATGCATAAAACACAAATACGCGAATTGATTGTTTCACCTCCCCCGACAGCGGATGCATAAAACACAAATACAAAGACAAATCTACGACTACTGGAGGATAAAAAAAATTAATTTAATCCTTTGAATCGTGGAGAAAAGAGATTTATATACGCATACGAAAACAAGAGATCGGATTCCGTGATTTAGTACGATACTAATCCCAAGCACTGGCTACAGCTGGATTGTAACCCCCACCATAACCAGCAGGAACCCCATATCCACCGCTACTACTGTTTCCTCCACCATAATAATCTGTACCCCTGTTAAAAGTGCCATCCCTTCTCATATCACGGCCACCAAAACGGGCTCCCACAGAGCGCCGATTCTTGCCACCACTAAATGAAACCCGTGAAGCATAACGGGTGAGCCAGGCAGGCACTTCTTGATTCGCTTCTTGCATAAGATCAGCTAGAGGTCTTGCTAATGACAAATTATTCTCATTAAAAAATGCTGTAGCCAGACCTGTTTTTCCAGCTCGCCCAGTTCGCCCTATCCGGTGAACATAATCGTCAATGTCATTTGGAAGATCAAAATTCACCACATGAGCCACATGGGGTATATCAAGACCCCGTGCTGCCACATCTGTCGCTACTAGAATTGGCGTCTTCCCACTCTTGAATGATCTAAGTGCCATTTCTCTTTCCTGCATGCCAACATAGAGATGATCATATTGAAGAATATAGATAGTAATTGCATAGTGCAAGAAAACAACAGACAACAGAAGAACAGGCAAACAAGTTGGAGCAATTCTCTACTCTACAGATTTTTTGTGTCACGAGTGGAGAAGGCCATCTGTTCCTTTTCCTAAATTTTAGTGTTACTTTCTCACAGTTTACCAAAGAACGGAGTCTAAATTACCATATGCCCCAGAATAATCTTTACAAAAACACTAACCTCAAGACAGATTAAGCTCATCAAAGCTGTAGGGTATTGCATAAATAAAAATTCTGAAGAAAAAAAATAAAAGATACATGCCACATTCCTGTACTCAGTACTCGCTACTAAACCCAAATCCAATAACTTACCTGTTGTGATCTATCTCCATGAATTGATGTAGCAGGAAAATTATTGACATACAACCAATGTTCCAATGAGTCAGCTCCCTTCTTTGTCTCCACAAAAACTAATGTCAGAGAATGCTGCAATTTAACAAAAATCCATGGTCACTATAGTACACTTTTGAATTTTTTTGTATGGTGGCTGTTTGCATCCTTTTATTCCTCTCCTCTCTCATTCGGGCTTTTTTCTCTCTTGATAAGACATGTCTCACCTTTTTCCTCAATTTTATGCTTTTATAATACGAGTTAAACCTTCTACTCTCCTACCTGTCACTAATCAAATTCAAGGGGCTAAGTTTAAAATTTTAATAAGGCTGGAAGAGACTTTTTTTCCTTAATTGATACGAATAAATCAAATCACCAGTAATTTTGCAAGAGAAAAGATTAGAACATATAAAATTGTCATGGTCAGCAAGTTGTTTCATCGTACCTTGCCATTAACTTCAGTTTCTCTCTGAGCATGAAGAAGGTCCATGAGATGACTTCTCTTGTCAATCTCTTGAACATATTCAACTCTTTGAACAATTAAATCAGTACTCGAACCGACCCTTCCAACAGCCAAAAATACGTAATTTGAAAGAAAATCAGATGCCAGTCTCTGCATGTCAGCCAAATTGCAAAAAAAAAAGTCAGATGCAACTGAAATGGCAGTCTTCAATGGATATCAACAAGCAACCTTCACATGTGAATGGTTAGCACCTAAAAGAGTGCGCAGCAACTACAAGATAGCAATGGTGCTTGCTTATCTAAGTAGGCAACAAGGTTGTCAAAAACGCTTTTTTGACACGACACGGAACATCCAATATAAACTTTAATCGTAAACTCGAATCATAAAATTATAAGATCACAAGTGAGAAATTTTAACTAAAAATCGTAAAATCACAAGTAAAATATTTTAACTAAAAATTGTAAAATCACAAGTAAAACATTTTAACTAAATTGCAAGATCCAATCAAGTAATAAATACTAATAAAACACATACGGAAACAAAGCATTAAGGATATGAAAAATGCATTCCCAACTACAGTTTCTCTTTGCTAGTAAGAATCCTCTAAATTAAAGAGACTCTTTTTCTAGCCATAAACCCTGAAATATCTTTTGTAATCAACCCAACCAAATGATTTCCATGGCCAATTATACAGCAGAGTTGCGATGCCATTCTCCTTTGCAAGCATCACAAAGCCCCACCAGACTTCCACAAGCAAACATGTATTATTCACAGTGAGTCAAGCAATTTGTTTCAAACATGTTAGGTTTCTAAAAAGAAGCAAATACATTATCCATAAATGTACAAAACAAAGCATTTAATGATCACACAACAACCAAATAAATGTACTTAGCTCCCACAACATGCATGTTTACACAAATAAGCAGCAGTGGCGACATACATCAATGCCAACGTCATTTTAGATTTACACACAAGCAAGTAGCAGTGCCAAAAAAAAAGTTCAATTAATTAATAAAAGAAAGCTTCTTTAGCCATAGAAATCACATTGAGATTATCATGGAATTTTGCAGCATATAACTGATGCACAAGCATGAAGTTGTTTTTCCTTTTCAAATAAGTTTGTGTTTTCTTAGCAGCTTATATTTGTTCCTTCAATATCTGGAGCATTAAAATAATTGAATAGAATCAGAATACAGTTGCTGATGGGAAGCCAATCCTATGCTACAAGGCACATACACACCCCACGAGCATGTTGATTGGAATGCATCCTCTTAATGATAGGAAAAGTAGAGAATTGCATAGCTGTGATGGTTTCACAGTCAAATTCAAAAGGTGAAGTCTCAAAAATTTACAATGCCCACTTTGATGATGAAACTAAATGGAGACAGATGCATTTGGGAAGGTAGAAGGCCAACCCATATCCCGACAACAACATAGTGCAATTATAGAAAGAATTTCATTACTAGATGACATTGTTCAGCTCCCAAATAGAAACGGAATATAATTAATTTCCCAGAACTTTCCTAGTACATCTTTGATCTGCTTCCAATCCTAGAAGTAAATCTCCAAGATACATGCACACAACAAGATCCAGACAAAATACATAGATGCTAAAATCGTTGAGGGTTAGTTTAATATCTAGAAAGAAAAGAAAAAACCCAGAAACCATTACTCACAGTAAATCCATAATCACCATAATATTAACAAAGATTCAACCAACTTGCTTTTTGTTTTTTTGTTTTTTTAATGAAATATAGCTTGATGATCTTGATCTTCTTCTGGTAATTTTTGGGTACAAGCCAAAAGGTAAAGCAAATTCCAAGTAGTTTGATAGGTACTCTTATTAGTTCAGTTACTGATTTCTTTCTCATGCAAGAACACATAACATGACAAAATGAACCACCAATGAATAAAACACATGACACAGAACAGCAAGGAAACAATTCTCATGCAACAACAGCATCCTTATAAATTCTTACCTTCTTCTCGCCAAGAATGTTCTGGTGAGTGGAGAGTCGAAACGTGTAAAATCAAAGGCGCTGCTGGTGAGTGGAGAGTGGAACTGATTTCTCAGTTCTGATTTCTTGATCTGCTTGGCCACTAGTGATTTTGGGGTTCTTGCAGATTTAGATGGGGGGAAAGGGTAAAGCAGAAAAGGGGAATGGAGATGTTGACAGGGAAAAGGGTAAAACAGAAGAGGCAGCTCACATTGTTTTTCATTTCAGCAGAAATCGTGAACTCAGACTGGTTTTTACATTTTTTACGGGTTGATTCGATTTTATGCGAGTTTGATCGGGTTTGACCGATTTTACCGGTTTTCGAGTTTTAAACCCGATTTTACATGTTTTATGCCTTTTGACCTGTAAAATCAGTGATTTTATAAGCCAAAACTCTTTTTTAACAGCCATGGTAGGCAATTATCCATACAGAACCAAAGGTACATCCTCCCTAGAACGATAAACTTTAGCAGTCAAGCTGCTTCATACCATAATTTAGCAACCAAGTAATATTATTTATGCACTCACTAAAAAAATAACATCCAACATTTTCATAACCAAGATAAAATACTCAGACATATCACTATATTAATAAATGAGCTTCACAAGAAAAAGAGTGGAAACCAACTCAACCAGCACCAGCAACTAAAACAAACCTGTATTTCTTTAGGAAAGGTGGCACTGAACAGCATTGTCTGTCTCCTGCCACATGGGGGCATGTCCATTTGTTCCACTATCTTTCTAATCTGAGGCTCAAACCCCATATCCAGCATCCTGTCTGCCTCATCAAGTGCTAAATATCTGATCATCTGCAATGACACTCTAGCCCTCTCAACCAAATCCACTAACCGTCCAGGAGTTGCCACTAGAACATCAACCCCTCTCTCAAGTTCTCGCAACTGACCAAGCAATAAAGAGCTAGTGAATAATTAAACTAGATGACAAGCACTCCTTTGAAACAACATAAAGGCAAAATAAAGCTGAAAGGTCACAAAAGGCAAAACAATATGAAGAAAAACATACATGTGTATCCAGCAATGCAATTGACTTTGGTGGTGTAAAAGCAAGTATAACCATTGCTATTGCAACTC